GAGTTACAACGCTAAAAACCGGGTTTTGATACTCGTGATGGGTACAGATAAACCAGGGTATAACATTGCACTTAACAACAGCAAACCTACAGTCAACTAGACAAAACTGTGTAGAGGCCAACTTTTTAGCTGAATTTTCATTAGCATGTTTAGAATTAACATCCATTTGAGACCAATAATCGTATCCTCTAGCATCTTTACATGAAGCTCGATTGAAATAAACCTTATCAATAGAATATTAAGCAAAATACTAGACGGATTAAATTAGTTACATGCACAATTAGTATACTATAGGTTTGCTAACAGATGGCGACACTTTCGACTCACCACTTTGAAGTTGTTCAAATTCCGCCTCTTCTGATTTCTCGGAGAAATTGTGATGAGGGCGTTTTAGTAGTTTGCTTCATTACTTCAGTAGTACCTGTTTTTTTACTTCTTCCTGTGTTCACGTCTTCAGAACTAAAACGGAATGAGCACGTAGTTCTGATGTCATCCAAGCAGTGTAAAGAAAGTAATTTTTTAGTTTGAAAAATAATAAAACTGCCACTATTATTTCTAATCCAATAATACGCAGTTGATATTTAAAAAAATAAATAAAGATTATGTACGGATAAATATATATATATTTTCCCAATCGTTCACGTATAAAAAAAAACTTGAAATGATGATCCTATTTTGTGAACAAAAACTAAACAATCTCATGGATTTCTAACCACAAAACTTCTTTCTTTAAAAAAATAACTCTCCAACTCTGTCTTTAAACTTTCTAAAATCAGTGCCCGGGTGGGACAGCGGTTAACTCTACGAACTTACAACGTTAAGGTCTAGAGTTCGATTTACCCGCGGTGGACACAGCAGAGGACCAAATGTGGCTTTACTCTATCATAAATATATTAAATGAACCAATCAGATTAAAATCCTGTGAAAATCAATTAAACGTAAAAAAAAAAAAAACTGTGTTAACGGAGGAATTGAAAACCAACAAGGAAGATAGTAAAATTCAACTAAGGTAGTTTATAAGAAGTACCAACAATACTACATGTACAAATTAGTACGAGATCTCTGTTTCTTTATTCAGCAATAACTTTAACAAAACGTTTGATCTAAACGAGAAAGAAATACTACAAAACTAAAGTTGAAAATACACAACCTACTATTAGGATACGTACTCGTATCGTAGAAAAATCAATACGTGTACATTAAATATCCATGTTTTCATGCGATGAACAGTGCAGCTGTGTTGTTCGGTTTAACCCTTGGATATAGCATATTAAGTGAAACAATTATGATTTTTTTATAGTATGGATAATGGCACCCACCTACGGATTGCAGAAATCTAAAGGTCGGCACGTGCGTCTACCTCTCTACTTTAGTGACTAAAAATGCCATTACTCGGGGAAAAATGTCAGTTGAAACTTAAAGATTCTGAAACGAAAGAAGAAAAAAAACCGTGCCCGCTAATTACAGGCTATCTGTAATTCGAAAATAATAATTCACATCAGCTAGTCAAAGCACGTTGGTTTATATTTCCGAGAAACTGGTCACATCGTGACAAGTCTTGCCATGAAGTTACTACACAGGTAATAGAAGTGATTAAAAATCTTTATTTGCGGAATGAATATTATCTTCGTTTGCGAACAAGGAACAAAGCAGCACTCGACAAACGCTATGTACAACTATCATCTGATATAATCTGCAAATTGGTACTGTTTATCGATTCATTTACGTTATCTCGTTCTGCGCATAATCACGGTGTTTCTATGATGTTGAGAAGTCAGAAATTTATTTTGTAATACACTACCTATGTCTATTGTTAGTTAACAAAAGAAAGTGAGATATGTGTGTATGTACGTACACACACACGCAAAGTGTCTTCCTGACATTTTTATTTTTAAGAGGTTTTGGTAATACCTACGAATTAGTACCTCTGTGGAGGTTGAGATATACTTAATAATAGACAACTTTTATTAATGATAGTTTATGATTTGACTCATTCTATTCTGTCTTTTCCTTTTAAAGTCACTGTAACATAGTATATGAATCATTCAAAGCAGGAGCACTGGGAAAATACTGAATTCAATGCAATTGCATTAAATAAGATGACTATGAGCCATACAAGACGTCTGTCTACTTTAAGGTTCTCTACTGATCATTCAAGACCGTTAATGTAAGGTTTTTTATTGGTCATCAAGACATCTTCTGTGAAGTGCTCCATTGGTCACCCAAAACTCTTTATTGTATGTCATCAATACCTCTACTGCAAGACGCTCAGTTGGTCACTTTGTAAGGTCCTCTACTGATAATTTAAAACAGTTAACATAAGGTTTTATATTGGTTATCACGATATTCACTATGAGGTGCTCAGCTGGTCACTCAAGATCCTTTATTGTATGTCATCAATACATCTACTGCAAGACGCTCAGCTGGTCACTTTGTAAGGTCCTCTACTGATAATTTAAAACCGTTAACATAAGGTTTTATATTGGTTATCACGACATTCACTATGAGGTGCTCAGCTGGTCACTCAAGATCCTTTATTGTATGTCATCAATACATCTACTGCAAGACGCTCAGTTGGTCACTTTGTAAGGTCCTCTACTGATAATTTAAAACAGTTAACATAAGGTTTTATATTGGTTATCAAGGCATCCACTATGAGGTGCTCAGCTGGTCACTCAAGATCCTTTATTGTATGTCATCAATACCACTACTGCGAGGCGCTCAGCTAGTCACTTTGTGAGATTCTCTTCTGATCGGGCACTCTATATAAATTAAAATACTCTAATGGTCATTTACAATATCTTTTATAAAATATTTTACTGGTTACTCCGTGAGATCCCGAAAGTTACAATTTCCTGAAGAACATTAGTTTGTCTATAAACCTTAATTGTCAAGGCTTCTAACCACTATTTCATATTGTTTGTCGTCACTCATTGTAACGTAATCTAATGTAATTTATCACCTTCACTGCAAGATTTGCTATTGGTCAGTAAACACAGTTCTTGTAACATTCTATACTGACGAATCATTATCTATATTACAATTTGCTATAATGGACACTACTTTCGTGAAAACAAGGATTCCAGATATAAACAGATAAATGCCCTAACTTTTGGTTTAAAGGATTCCATGTTAGGTGAAGAGGCTGATCTCCTCGATGGATCATTAATGGTATCAGTATTCAGTTGTTCAGAACTTGGAAACAACTGTTTAAGAGTAGTCATCAACTGGTGTTAGTGAGGAAATCTGAATTCATTAGCTGATCCTGGTGATGACGTTAACTAAAATTGAAACGCTCAGTTGACCTTGGTGAGGATTATCTGCTGTGTGATACTTCCTCCCATTATAAACAATGACAATTCGCGATCTTACAAAAACATGAATTGTGAGAAATGTTGATTAGTGAAGCTAGACCAGTTGTATCAGACTATAAACTTCCGAGATGACTGTCTTATTTCTCAATTGACTTCTTTTGAGTTACAATATAAACACTGTTTGAAAATAAAATACGCAATTAAATTAATACCTCTTATTTCACAGTAATTAATCACTTATTTCACAGTAATTAATATCACTTATTTCACAGTAATTAATATCACTTATTTC